TTTATATGGCCAGAAATGCCAAATAGCTGTCTGTAACACTCTAAAGCTAGCATACTCAATTCCTCCCATAGAAGCAGTGTGAAATTTGCTAATAGAGAGGCAAACATGAACTCCTGTTCCGATGGAGTTTCAATTTGGCCCACTCCCACTCACTTGCTTTATGGCAAGAAGTAGAAATTTTGGCAATCCTATGTAGCATGGGAATGACTGGCATTTTATAGGACTTTCAAGTAATGGGCAAAGGGAGGATTTGAAGCACTGCACAACCTGCATGTTTAGAAACTGTAATTATTTCTAATGATTCTACCTACAAATGGGCTGATTATTTATTTTACTGTTATTTTTGCATGTGGTCACTTGGCACATAAAAAATGGATAATGTTTTACAGCAATGGATAGTGTTTTACAGCAGAGAATTTCAAAGCTTCAAGACAGGAATCTGCCCTACGTTACATACAGGGAGATTGATGTATGTTGGTGTTGAAGTAAGTAGTATGATTTCAGGAAGAGTAGATATGCAGGCTAGTTTAAGTCCAGGAACAGTCAAAATCCAGACATCAAAGTAGGGTGTACAAATCTGACCGCGTGTTCTTGTGTAGCTGGCCAATGCTGAACCATGTATACATAAATCAATACATGGTCTGGTAAAAATTAAAGCTTGCACAGACTCACATACAACTTCCCTTTTTTGTTGTAGTATAAAGAGATCATGCAACACAAACACCGTTTTACTTATCCAAAACAAAACACAGCCTGGAAACATAGACCCACAGCCTAATACACCATTCATACACACCAAAGCAAGCAAAACAGCCGGACACAAAAGCTGACAGAACTAAAAGAGACTGGATCCATTTCTAGATGGAATAGTTAAACAAGCTTACATTGCTGACTTATTTAATGTCTTATCTAGAAATATTACTTGCTATATAATAAAGATTCCCTTGTAAATCAAAACCACTTACTTTTGTTCTCATTTTGATGCTTGTTAGATAAATTAATGTGGCTGCACTAGCAGCTTGGTGCCAAAAAACCAAAACAAACAAACAAAACCCAGAGAAATTTAAAAATAAATCACAGATACATAGATTTGAGGATTTTTGCTTCAACACACTCTTTTATTAGGTTTGATTTGGAAGAGGTCTACTTTTTGTTAGCTTTGTATTTTTAAGGGGGGGGGGGGGGGGGAAGAAGGGGGGGGGGGGGGAAGAAGCAAATTCATAGCTGTAACTTTTTTAAATGACTGTTACCAAATTAACAGATAACTAGGACGAATGAAGCTTCAGGTCAGAGCATAAGAATTGCTAAATAGTATGGAGGGAGAAATAGCTTTTGTTCTTGCATATATACCCTAAGTCAGGAAAGCATGCATATAATCTTGGCACTCCTGAGTCAAAGGCCAGATTAAGGCTATTCATGAAGACTTGGTCTGTACAGTCATCCTGTGATTTACAACAGGACAACTTATTTTCAAGGTACTCTTTTAGAACTGTGGAGATAGAATTTTACTTCTATGATTATTTTTTTTAAAATATTGGTACATCGCTCTGCACATCTACTTTAATAACTGCAATTCTTGGTCTGGATACACAAGAGCTCTGGCACAAATCTTGTCATAGCAAGTTCACCAACCTTACAGCTGAAGTTCTTATTCCCTGTACTGAGGGGGAAGACTAGCTTATATGGTTAATAATGGCTGGCTGCATTGCTACGTTTGCCAAATAAATGCTAGTCCTATGTGTGGTAGAAGTAGGTGGGAACATACCCATCCCCTGGTCTACAATAATTAGAATTCTTTTGATTTCATCCTTGGAAGTGTATCAGTTCATGAGTTTCATTTTGAGAGTTGAATTCAAATCTGAAAACAAAACTTTCCCAAACCTAAGAAGTATTGCTTATTAATTTGGGGGGGGGGGGGGGGGGAAGGCAAAATTCATGATAACACAGCCTT